GGAACTGCAACCATTGCGCTCTGGCATTTCCTCTCAATTGTTTGTGCAATTTTCTTTTTATGTATGGAAAATATTTCTTTTATTGTGTTGCCGCTGCTACCGCTGTTGTTTGCCTTTTGTTAATGTGCAAGTGCTGGTTGTTTGTGGTTTGCTTTGTTGGCCATCCGAGCTTCGAGCTGCCAGCCCCCGTCCTTAACCCTTTGCTGCCCCCAAACCCACAAACCCACACATGTGTACCAATTTCGCCACTGATGCGTTTTTAATTGTGTTTATTTCCGCTTCGCTGTGACACGTCATTTATTAGCCCACAAAAAGCCAGCTGCTTTAAGAACTTTTTCCTTCGGCATAACTATAAATCTTAACTGGGGTCTCGATCAATCTTAGGGTTAAATATTGCAGCCTGATTTATTCGCTGACATTTTGCATTACAAGAGCCATTCCCCCTGCTTTTTGCTGATTTTTCCGAACCAAAAATAAAAAAATAAGACAAGCAAATGGGTTTATTTACAACAGCGGAACCGGAAAATACTGCTCGCGAAAATTTCGTTTAATTTTCGCTGTGTCGGTCCTTTGTTTGCCAATGTCTTTTGTTGTTTCCTCATAATTACTGTCCGAAATTTTCCCTTTGTTTTCGGTTCGGGGAAAATCTAAAAAGCCGGGCCTTCGGAAAGTAAAAATCTTTGAAAATCCGATTGCCCACTTTAATGCTGATTTGTTTTTTGAATGCCTGCGAGAGATGCATTTTAACGTATTTCGCCTATTATGATGAAGCTGTCTAATTGCAGGCAACACGAACCGCCACTTTTCCCCGAAACGAAATGCAATTGCGATGCCCACGTCATCGGTCATCAGTCATCACCGGGATCGCCCGGTCATATCCTATTTCCAAATAATTAGCGCCGATTGAATGCCCCAGGTAGCCCGTCAATTTGTTCCGCTGCAGAAGGGGCGTCGATGCTTTTGGAAATTCCCAATATTTCCTCGGGGTCCTTCGAATCGGACAGGAAAATTGGAGCTTAACAATTCCTGCCAAAATCAGCAGTTTATTCACCTTCGACAGCAGCGGCCACTCAATAACTGATACCGACCTTTTTAAATTATAAAATCTTTAATTACCTAACAAATAGCTGTCTTAAAAATTATATTTAACATATTAATATATATATTAAATATTTAACTTTGTATTTGCCAGGCTTCAATTTACTCTGCAGCAGTTATCGGAGAGTATAAATTAGCCAAGTTATTGCGTTAACAAGGCCAGAGAAAAATCATTCGCACATTCATCAGACATATTCGATGTTGCCATTCACAAGTTCAAGTTGCAATAAATAAGGAAGACGCATTTAATGTGAAACTCATTGCGAAATACGAGCAATATTTCAATTTTCCTCAGATGCCGGATGAAATCAAAGACATACCCCCTTAAGCCCCCTTTAAGCAGCCTGCCAACGACGCCCCTGCCTTCCGGGCATTATGGAGCGTTAGTTAATTAACCAGCAGAAGAAGGACGTTGCAGTTGCAGTGGCAGCCAGAAAGGGAGTTGTCAAGGAGCCAAGAGCTACTTGCCATGATTCCGGTTAACCAAATCGAAACGCACAGAGTTGGAGTCAAATTCCAAATTAATTCGAATTGAAGTGACATGACTTTTGTTTTGACCCAAATGGCCAAAACAGTCAACAGTTTGTGGGAGATTTTAAAGGAATTTTAAGGCAGAATAAACTGGGAAATTATCATTAAAAAAAAAAAAACATTTTAAGTAAAAAATAAAAATTAAATAATTAAATTAAATAATAAAATGCCTAAATGTATTGAGTATTTAAATACAATACCAAAATTAACAGGTATTTAAATATATATTTATAAAATATTCAAGAAACTATAAGGATTTGTTTTTATAAAACTACATTTAATTATTTAAAATGCCTAAATGTAATGAGTATTGAGTATATAAACTGTTCTTTTTCAATTTCATTTATAAATAGTAAAAAAAAAAATAAATAAAAATGTAATGAATATTTAAATACAATACAAAAACAAGAAAGGAAGCTAGCTTCGGCAAGCCGAAGCTTATATACCCTTGCAGATCGTTCTATTAATGTACAAATCGCAAAAATGTTAAATTTATTATTATTTCACATTAATTTTCGATCGTTTCTATCACAGCTATATGATATAGTAGTTCGATCTTTTAAAAATTAAAATCGAAATTCGGAAATATTTCAAAATAGTCATATCCCAGAGTAGAAGGGAATGTAATAAAAACCAACAAAGATATAATTTTTTTCCCATTAATTTCCATTTAATTTTTCGACCGTTCCTATGGCAGCTATATGATATAGTGATGCGATTTAAAAAACAAAAAAACCGAAATTCAGAAATATATAAAAAAAAATATTCCCAAGAGTAGAAGGTAAAATTTCAAAAAACACCGGAGCTAGAATTTTTTACTTTTTTTTTTTTTTGATCCTTCCTATGGGAGCTATAAGATATAGTTGTCCGATCCGGTTGGTTCCGACATATATACTACCTGCAATAGAAATACGACATTTACGAAAGTTTCATCCCGATAGCTTTAAAACTGAGAGACTAGTTTGCGTAGAAACGGACGGACAGACGGACAGACGGACGGACAGACGGACAGACGGACAAGGCTAGATCGACTCGTCTTGTGATGCTGATCAAGAATATATATACTTTATGGGGTCGGAAATGTCTCCTTCACTGCGTTGCAAACTTCTGACTGAAATCATAATACCCTCTGCAAGGGTATAATGATTAGGTACTTAAATAAATATTTTTAAAATATTAAAGCAACCATAAAGATAGGTTTTTATAAAGCTACATTTTAGTTTCTTTCTGTGCACTGCGAGGAGTGGTGGTTCTTTTCCGAAAATGGCCAGATTTTCGTTTGCCACAGAAAGCCCTTTCATTTGGCTCTTTGCTCTTTTTGTGTGACACTGCATACATTGTACACACTTCATTATTTAATATAAAATGCATCCTCACACGCACACCCCCGCGCACAAAGGAAGACAATTGCCGTTGCGAGGCGAGGCGAATGAGTAAAAACGTTATTTAATTAATTAATTTTCATTAAAAACACGACAAAATGCGACGGCAAATGGAGGAAGGGGAGGGGAAGGAGCAGTCGCAGGGACACTACAGTTCGGTACATTTAAGGACGAGCAGATGCTCCTCCCTTGTCCTGTCAGTCTGGCTGTCATTTACAATTTTAATCTCGCTGTGCAGCAGTTTAGCTTAAGTTCAGGACGTCGGGATAATGAGCGGCCGGGTCCGCGCTTAAGGATAATGGAGATGGAGCCTGCAGCGGAACAGGACACCATCATCCACCATCCACACCATCCACCTGTAATTAAAGAATCGCGTATGCAGCCAGCACTTCACTTCAGCTGGCCGAATAAGGAGAGCGCCGGCCAAGTTGGGCCCACAAATTTCATGGCTAATAAATCACTTTTAATATTAATAAAACATAAATCACGGCCAACTAAAAACTTGGCCTGCTACCTGGATACTGGATACTACTGCAGTCTCATTTTGGCGCCTTTTGTTCGATGGCAAAAAGTTTTGAAGAAGCTCCCAACCCCTTGGTCCTCCTCCACCCACCGAAAAGGTTCCCCAAGAATGTGCCAAGGTGGTGGTGGAGGATAAGGAAGGATAAACGTGGGATCGGATGAGTTTAAAGTTCAGCTGGGTTGAATTTGTTCAAGTAAATCAAAAACAGCGACGATGAATATTTTAAATTATGAATATATTAAGTAATGGAAAACAAACACATAAAATAGCTTTTTAACTTATATACAAAAATTTTAATTTTAAAAATTAAAATTTTTAATTTTACATAAGTAAAATAAATTAATTCTACAGATAACAAAACCAGTTAAAAATTACCAAACAAAAAGTTATCACAATATCGACCGAAACTAAATTTATTCTAAGTAATTCAAAAAATATTTTTGACAATTATTTTTATTGAGACCGGATATAATTCTTAGATTCCTTAGGTTTGCACCTAATTTTCTACCATAGGGGTACTATAATTTCAGTCAGAAGTTTGCAATGCAGTGAAGAAGACATTTCCGACATTATACAGTACTTAAATTTTTGATCCCATCAACACCCGAGTCGATCGAGCAATGATCGTCCGTCTATTTTGAAAGTACATATTTGCTTGTGTAGCTCCCAAATGAAATGATGTATAGCTTCCTTGTATTTCATTATATTATCTGCTGATCTTGAAATTTTAAAATAACACCACTACTTTAGATTTTTTTACGATATAAAATACAAATTTTAAAAAATCTTGATTAACAAATTTAAAAACTTCAAGGATATATAAACGGTGGTCCTCTGAAGTTACCTCCGTTTTTTTATTGCCATTTAAAATTGAGATTATGTTGGAAAAGTAACATCTATAGTTATAGTTCTGGGCTACTAGTAGATATCTTCATTTCAGAATGATCAGCCTATACTATAAATATATTGCACAGAGTCTTCACCTTAAACAAAGTGCCATCTAACACTGATTTTGATATCTTTTGCGAATCTTATGGATCCAAACTTTCAATACATTGTAAAGGTGCACACTTGTTGTCCTGGTAAACTTCGCTATTTGTCATGAAATCACATGGATTACCAGCTTTTAACAATTCTTTTCAAATTTCCACTCAAAGGCACTCAAATGTAAAGTTAGTTAGTTTAAGAAAAATGCAATTGGCAAATAAACTGCTTAATTCACTGAAAACAAGAAATAAACGTATGAGCAATTCGCACCGATCAAAGGATAAAGGTTCCTAACGACTGACTGAAGATGCACAAATCTCAACAAAGAAGGCAAACGTAAGAAAGCAGGAACTACACACAAATGCAATGAACTGAATGGGCATTCACTCATGAGCAGCCAAAGGAATTCGCAAAGAAACAACTCGATTGGTGTAAAAAGTGGTTGAATGACTGTGAATGGAATGAGATTGCTAACATACCGATAATGCAATTGACAACTGAGTGAACAAGCGTGTGTGATTGAATGATTGAAGGCGGCGATCGACGGGTAACGGGATGATTGAGAAGGGGATTGACACAGCCACAACTCACATTGAATTTCCAGCGGCAAACGATTAAGTTTCAGTTTTCAGAATTACCTTTTTTTTTCGAAAAAACCTGAGGAGAAACCAAACGGGTCCAAAGCACTGGCCAACACTCGAAAAAAACTTGGAAAATAATCAACCAACACTGGGCAAAAAAAACTCTTCTTTTCTTCTTTTTCTTTAATTTTTCCGAAAAGATTAGCTAGAGTAACTAGTATCACTTGCTGTCACTTCGCGCAGCTTGAAAAGCGTTTTCGAAATTCAAGAATTCTGAATTCGGCACCAAGTCCCTGTTCAATTCGAATCTCGTATCTCGAATCCACTGGACTGAACTGAACCGACGCGCTAGGAAGTTGCCCGAGCACTGAACCTGTCGCGCCAAGCGCGTTTCGCATTGGGCCGACCTAGCGCAACGTGCTCGTCCTTCGGCAGCACTGGCGTCCCGATTTCCCCATTTTCCCGATTTCCCGCTATTCCCGATCCAACCAACTTGCCGATGTCCTGCGGAGTCCCGTGTCCCGTCGCCACGAAGCAGCAGCCGAGTGCCGGCCGAAGGACAACTCGTGCGGCTGGTGAAAAAGCGTCTGCAGTGCGTCCTCTGGCAACATGTTGCCAGCTTGAAAAGCAACATGTTGCAGCTGATAAATTGCCCCAAACTGAAGTGCAGCGATGTGGCTAAGTGATTGTTGGCCTTGCCTTATTGATAAGCTTCTCTCTTTTCTGTTGTTCATATTTATTTTTTAGTTGTACAAAAAGCTTTTCATAAAATATTATTTATATTATTGTATATGTCTTTTAGTTTAGTAGAGGAAACTTTCTCAGAAGTCATTATTGCAAGCTAAATATAAGACCGGAAGGCCTGCCAAATAAATTGCCGATGAAGTTGTACTGCATTTTGTACTTGTCATTTTAAATGAGATGAATTGAATGAGATTTATGTTAGCCTTCTAATAAGTACATTGACATGTGCAGATTGATATGTGCAGGTTAATTTAATAATTTTTTAAAAATCAAGTTATTCATATCGTTTTGATATGAATAAAGATTATGTTTTTCTTCTTTTATTTATTTTACAATCAAATAAAAACACCTCTTAACGAGGTAAAAAACTAGTGACGACCGCACCTTCAACATACAAAAGTTCTGATATCAACATTTGTGACGAAAAATTATTACACTCGTCATTAAATAGACTTTCTAATATTTTCTCATTCGGCCCGCCCTAGCAAACTATTCCAGCCTTTTTCCCCTTACAGGCATTTTCTATTGCAGCGTGACGAATGAGAAAAGATTAGAAAGTCTATTTAATGACGAGTGTAATAATTTTTCGTCACAAATGTTGATATCAGAACTTTTGTATGTTGAAGGTGCGGTCGTCACTAGTTTTTTACCTCGTTAAGAGGTGTTTTTATTTGATATCAGAAGTTTTTGTTTGTTTACATTTGCTCTCATAGGAGCTAATATATACATTTAAATTTAAATTGGTCAATCATAATTTTTAAACTATTGTATTTTAACAAATTAAGTTAAAAAGGCGTTGAAGTATTTCAAAATACCTTTTAAACGAGGTATAGTACATGTCTGTACCTTTAGTAGTGTAGAACTTACAAACTAACGAAATTTAGCTATTTTTAGCTTTTTCCCGCTAAAGTAGCGGCTTTTTCCAAAAGTCGTAGAACAAAAGATTCCTATATGGAACTCTTAAGTGCAAATTTACTGATTCCATGACCCTAAAGTACAGTTCGGATACCCTCCCACAAAATTCAATACTCAGGGAGCGTTAATTGTTCGAGCTGGCAAAAGTGGCTATTTTCGAATAAAAATAACTTTTAAACGTGACTTTTTACAGTAATGTGTTATATACCAAAATTTAAGGAATCTCAAGGGCTATACAGTTTAAGGTTTTAAAGAAAATCGTTAGAGCCGTTTTTGAAAAAAAATAAAAAAAAGCTAAAAAAAAGTTTTAAAAAATTGTCTTTTGTTCATATTTTTTTAAGTATTACATTTACACAAATTGCATATAGAAGGCGTTTATAGCATTTAAAAATACCTTTCAAACGAGATGCAGCACAAGCCTGTAGCTTTAGTAGTATAGAAGTTACGGCTTTCCGAATTTTAGCTACTTATAGCTGTTTTCCCGCTAAACTAGCGGGTTTTTCCAAAAGTGGTAGAACAAAAGTTTTTTATATCGATGTGATGAACGTCATATCAAATTTTCAGAACTTAAAAAACATATTTTGGACAAGTGGACAAACTGACAAACAGAAATTAATTTTCATTTTGGGAAGAAGAAGAAAATCTTATTTTGGCTATAACTTTTGAACGGAGAGTCGGATTTTGACAAATGATCCCTCATTCGACGGGTATTTTCAAGAGGAATACAACTAAAATATTGCGAGGGGGCATTTATCCCCACCGGCCCCAACAGCTCCAAATTTCGAAATTTTCAATTTTTCACTTTCACCGCTCTCTCTCCCAAGCCAATTGATTTTCTTAAAGTCTTGGTATGCAATCCTGTTAGTTTTCGCAATACCTTTCGATAGGTGTATTATTCATTATGATCGGACCATCACAGTAGATTTTCATTTCTTCGTGTATATATAGTAGTCGCCTTCGCACACTCTCCTGGTGCGCTTCGTCACTACATGGACTGCCGTCCATAGTGATATTTGTTAAAAAATATATTTAATTTGGTATTTTAAAACAGTTTTTGTATAACTATTATAAAATGCGAAAATATCAAGTTGATGTTTGAATCATAAATTTGACATTAATCATATCAGCTTTTTATTGATATGAAATAAGGTAGAAATGACCCTACTTCATATCTATTAATTCTGTGTTACATTTTAAATAAATTATAACAAATAAGGTAAACCATTAACTGAGATGACAAAGATATTTTGTTTGGAATTTAGTTTTCATGGGAATATAAATGAAATATACGTAAGGTCCACAGGAAATTTAGAGCAAGATGTTAGAAATAACACGGGAAATTATGTTGATCACTAGAAACTAGTTTTCCCTTTTTTTTTTTTTGCTGAGATGTCCTTTAGGTTCTAGATTCCTCCATCTCAGAATATAATTAAGATTGCAGGCGGCGAGGAGCGTTAAATAACTTAAATAACTGCGGCTTTTGCAATCAAAGTCACTTTGTCGGCGCTCTTCTTCGTTGTGGAAAATTCACTTACCAGGTGCTTAAAGAAGGACCTCTTCCCTTGGCTTTTCCTTTTTGCCCCGCGTTCCCCCCGTTTGCCTCTCCACCCACACATCACTTAGGCAAATCAAGGAGACCAATAAAGGCAAAAAGGCGGCAACACTTAGACAGCCAGCTCGCGATGAGAGCGAGAGTCCTGGCAGGATCTCCATCTCGTGCCTATCATAAGTCGTCCTCCCACATGTGTGGCCGCCAGGTGGGTGGGCAAAGGTAAAAGCACTTTTGCGCTTGTTTTAATGAAATTCAATGCGTCGTCGGCGACGTCGACAAACCTTTTCACCAAATGAACACGAAAATTTTCATCAATGTCTGTGGGGCGAAGTGGGTGAGGTGGGTTGGGAAAGGGGGTCTTACACCCGAAAGTAACCAAAGAAACCCACTTTCATGCTTCATAAGTAAATTCATTTGGACCGTCCCGCGGCCCGCACCTTGAGCTTAATGAAATGTCATCAACTTTGAGGTGTTTATTGCGCTGACAACCCGGGGGAGGAATTTGCATCAGCGGTGTGGCCGTGAGTCGATTCAAATGACTCACTCACGATTCAAGCACGATTTAAACCAGATCTTCACCCTCTCATTTCACGCAATCATCTCGGGGAAACGTGTTAATACATCACAGGGGGCTGAGGGGCGGAGAGAACCCTTTGAGCAGCACAGGACGAGCCCAAAACTGAGCCCAAAAGTAATCTTTGAGTCTTACTGTCAACCGCCTCCTGCGCCGACGAAGGATGCCAAAGGTGTGTGTGCTAAGCAGGAAAAACATTTTCATGTATCATAAATTGTCTAACACTTAAAAAGTGATTACGTCTGCGTGTTCCACCCTGCAACCCCTTTTCCTTTCCCCTTTCGGAGGAAAGAGGAGAGAGACCCAGACCCTTCTTTCGCCAGAGCAATCCAATCGAGAACATCAATTTATAGAGTTGCCAACGGAGGAGCTTAGCACTTTAGATAAACAATTTTGTGCAAGTTGTTAACTTTTACGATGACTCATTAATTTTGTAGATTCTCACTCGTAGTTTGAATGGCTATGGGGATGTGCAGGGAGTGTAGTTTCTGCTGAATTGTTGTTTGACAAAAGTTGTTTGTCGATTTTAATGATGTGACACTAAATACTCGTCGAAGGCCCAGGCTTCACCCCCTGCCCTTATCCCATTCTGATTGTGATTACGCCGGAACTTTAGCATAACAAAGCCTTCGGGTTCCTGTTTCCACAAATCCGCAATGCATCCTGGTAACAACAATAAACATCTCGCATTCGAAACAGATGACAGCACATCACATAATTAGTGAACTTCGGACTCCGGATTCCCGAGACCTTTCGGGTTCAAAAGGTACGTGGCAAAAACCATATCATATCATATTATTCCGGAGGTCGCCTGTCGGTTGATGGCATCGGGGGTCATGGAGCGTGTAACTAATCGGAAAAGTTTTCCCAGTTTGCGGTTGGCAGAGGGATCCAGATTCGGCATTTTGCTTATTATAATTTTCAGTTTTAATTCATACATTTCCATGCATTTGGCAGGCATATCAGTTTTCCAAATTCATGCAGGCTCCAATTGGGGAAATAATTTTAATTAATGTACCTGTTTTTTTTAATTTATTTTTCCTTACGAATTTGTGATGTTAAATAATTAGAACGAATTTATTTCATTTTGAGATGTGCATTTTAGAATAAATGGTTAAGTCTTGTCATTCATGTTTCGACATGTTTTATGCACTTTCTTCACTCATAGAAATTTTTACCTAAATACTAGAAAAGTCGCCCTAAAACTGAGGTCGCCCTAAAACTACGGAAAATTTTCTTATTATACGGGTGGCTAGCCCTAAATATACGAAAAATCGCCATGGAAAATATTTTTTAGGGTTGGTTTTTTCAAAAAGGCAAATTTGTCCTGTTTTTTAGGGCGAATTTTTATGAGTCGACTCCAAAAGTAATTCCTTCTTTTTAGGGCGAAAT